CCCCAAAACCCCAAAACCCCAAAACCCCAAAACCCCAGAATCATTAATAATTACTGAAAATATTAAATTTATAGAACTACTAGTAAGATGAACAGAAAACTAGAGAATTACTGGAATGGTACGTCCTCAGTTATCTTCGCAACCTCAGTTTATCCGTTTGTCTCAAACTTGTCCATCATTGTGTGTTTGATTAAATCTTGAGGGAGATAATGATAGTTTAAGCAATTTTTTCCGCATCAAGAACCTAATTTAGTCAAATAGACGCCCCAATAAACTCAGAAGAATGGACCAGACAAAAAGCTCACAATGATATATATCAGAAATACAGGTAAGGAACCCCAACCACAGGATCACGAAAATTTGGAGAAAAATTTACTCCAATTATCCATCATTTTTTTTGCATTTTAATGAATATTTTCAGAAATTTTACATCAAAAATTCATAATTTTATCATAGGAAGGAAGCAATGCTTCAGAAATAACAAATATAAGGACATAGAGTAAGTAGACTCCTCTTCAGCACATTTTGACACTCTATCTAGCCGGATTAGGAAGATAAACAGGTCAGAGCATGAAGTGCATCTTAATAGTAAACTGTAAGGCTGGTCAACAAATGCTTTAGAGATCCTCGAAATGATCACTATTTCAACCATAATTATTATGACTCTAAACAGAAGTTTTTAATGCAGAAGTACCAAAACCTGTAAGCCTTCTAGTCATGAGATTTGATGTCTCTTTCTATTCAGTGTGATATGACTATTTCTAGGTCCCAACATGGAAGAAATAGCAGGTACAACTCCTCTGATGGGCCAAGGAAGAAATACATCATTCAGGACTTGAAGGTAACCATCTAAGGGAGGTTTTGCTGGATTATTTATAGATGTCCCCTCCTAATATGCCAATTAAGTTCTCTCCGAATCTTCCTCCCAGGAGACCTCTCTTAAACAAACAGAATAAGATACTGGATAATTTGTAAGCATTTGAAAAATTCTTTTTGCTTACTTTTTGTTCGTCAGTTCTGCGATTTTCGCCGTAAAATACCGGCTGAGATTCACAAGCTGTACAATTTCTTTCTAACTGAATTTGTTCAGGGAACCTTCACAGGAGGTGGATGTTTCGAAATCAATTTCACCATTGCAAGAGAAAGGAGATACGAAATTTTTCGATTCTCAAGAAGCTTCGCATAACTTAAATTCGGTGTTCCTCGCTGACTCCTACAGGAAGCGGAATAACCTCAGTCATAGCCGCAGGCTGCAGGTTCAAGACTCGAATCAAATACAAGTGAGGCCCATAAGTCTGAAGATTAAGAAGGAAAAGGTGAGTAAATTCTTCCTATGAACAGTTTCATATTGATTTTAGATCAAAAAATATTCGGCCAAGAAGGACTTAAAGCTTTCTCCGATGGAGTACCACCAGTTTTGAGCTGAGAACATCACCATTGAGAAATCAGAGGCAGGATCTGACCACAAGTCTTCAAGTATGGCTAACTTTGTTTGCACCTTGGCCAGTCACCAAGTTCAATAATAGTTACACTTGTTAGAATAATTTACTCCATTTTTGAAAAGAGTTCTTAACAAAGTCTAGTGTCGAATCAGAAAACTGTAAATGTACAAAGCAGAGTGGATGGAGAGTCTTTCCTGACCAGCCAGACTAAGTTTGGGGAAGATCCATCAACTAAGAGGTCGCAAGCTAAACCTACCAAATCCCTTTTTGCTGATGTAGACTCTACTAACATGAAACCAATGTAAGTTAGCCCTCGGAATCGGTTTAGGATAAATGATAAAAAATCTCCCAGCATGAAGAGGAAGAAGAGGATAAGGGTCATCACGAAAAATAAAAATTTGAAGAAGATCCCTAAGAAGCCACACAAGGAATCTAACTCGACGAAGACTATTCCTCAGTTCATTCACCATGACCCTCATACGTAAGTTTAAGGCTATAATGTTTAGTATGAGGAAAAATTCCAGAGGTGAAGAAGGCTTCTCAATATTCTGAGTTTTTACTCTTTCATCATAGATCTTATGTGTGTTACTAACCAGATTGTTTAGAGGAGGCCAGGCTAGCTCGTAGCACTTTCAATATCCCCACTGAGCCTGAAGTCCCAATGAAACAGTAAATATTCAAGCTAACTTTACAGAACACGTAATGTTTTGAGGCAAAAGAAGAATTCTGAGCTGGCTTCACCAACTGATCAGGTATGAATTTGACACTGTGATATTATCATGGCTGTAATATACAAGGAACTGGCACCGCCACTTGGGGATTTTGCATCAATCTTTTATTCGTAAAAAGTTTCACACAGTGCCTTGAAGAATGAATTTAAAAAGATTTACACCGTCTTCTCAATTTTTTACCTTTTTCTTTATAATTTTGCTAAAAGGTGTTAATAATGCTTTAGACCAAAACCGAAAATAGTGTTTCTGATGAAGAGAAGCAGGAAGTCCCAAAACTTCAAGAGGTCCTAAAAGAGCCATCAAACGAGTCTATTCAGGTAGAAGAGAGTCCAAAAGTCAAGCTAGGACTCAAGGATACTTACCAAGTAGACCAGGATAAGACCTTAACACAGGAGCTTTTAGAGGATTTTGAGAGGCTTGAACTTCAATATAAGCTTAAGGAGAACTGGCTTGATGCTACAGATGAAGTTAAGAAGCCATTTCCAGCTGATTTTTCTCTGATTTATACCACAGAGAGGGAAGAGCAGGTCAAAAAAGACCAAGTTCATGATGAATAGTAATTTAGACTATCACTTATTTTGAATATTTCAATTCGTAATAATATCACAGGGGTTTTGGGGTTTTGGGGTTTTGGGGTTTTGGGG